ATATATATATATCCTTAGTCAGTCAAATTCAAGATGCTGTTAGTATGGAGGGCTTAAATGCTGTGTTGAACTCCTAGTCCCATGGCTAACCATATTTGATAAAGTGTACATTTTACCAATTTTGGTCTTTTTTGGTGGGTTTTCTTTATCTTTAGGCTTCAGCTTTTCGTTTAAAATATGCTTCCATTTCTCTGACTTTTGCTAGCAGCAGGTGAAGATCCTTCTTCTACATATTAAGACAAGTTTATAAACATCTGAATGGTGCACTACGGCTACTAGTGGTGAAACAGTGTATTGCAACTCAGTCGGTTGAAAACCAATGACATGCCGCAACCCACAGCTGAAAAACAGACTTTTCTTTTGAAGCCCTCAAGGTGGTGTTTGTGGCCCAATTGTTAGTTGCRGTCCAAGGGTTAAGAATGCCTGAAGTGTATAAAGTCATTTTTCTATTTATCTGTGATAAATTATTGATCAGTTAAGTAAAAGTGTAAGGCATGCTGACTAACATAGCTTGCTTTTAAATAAATCTCAATATTAAAATTTTTTTAATATGTTTTTTGTTTTTCAGAGAATTTAATTTGATCAAATTCTTCATCTAATCCTGCATGTTATATTGAATTTATGCAGTTATTCCATCTGAGTGTATTAGCCAAAATCATAGGCAGATAAAACGCCAAATGAAAGATTAATAGGCTCTTCTAGATAAATAAGCTCTTTTACTTCACTATTAAAAATAATATTGATTGCCTGTCTGTGCATACAAGTGGGAGCTGCAGCAATCAAAGCTGACAAATCTACTGTTGAAATTATTCCCCTGATAAACTGAGAGTCCTCTTCACGCTTTGTTTGATCACTTTATAAGAGTCTGTCAAAGAGCAAATATTGATCTAAGGAAAATGTACAGAGGATGCCCTGAAGGATGAGTGGAGAACAAATCAAAGTTGTCTTCACGGTTTAGCTTCAGCTTGGTACTTTTCATTGATGTCCTTACAAAAAGTTTAGCGAACGAAGAGTTAACAAGATGTCACAGTGCACCTGTCTCTGTTTCTTCAGAGAATGACAAACACTCTTGCCATTACCACAGTGCAGGCTGAGGTGGAAAAGCCTTTTTGTAAGAATAGCCTCGCTCCGTTACAGACGGCACATTTTTTGACTGCAGTTGTCGACGAGATCCTCCTCAATCAGCAACTTAGAAAAACTTGCTGGAATGTGAAACGTTAAATTTTCGAACACATATTTTGTGAGGATCCGTTCTGATCCAATTGTGAAACTCATGTTTTTTTTAACCATCTCTCACTTTGTTCTTCCAGTTAAAAAAGAAAAAAAAATATCATTTTTTACTCCCTATGAAAATAACATCTTGGATTGAAACACTATAAGACAATTTGTTCATCTTGTAGATAATATGGCTTCGCCTCAGATAAGCAGGTTCATTGAATGTGTTTTACTTCTACTGAGGCTAACAGAGCAGGTATCATTCATCGACTGCAAATAGCAGATAAGTTAGAAACGAGTCAAATCATTACCTTTCTGTGTTGAAACGTCAAATTCTGTAGAAGATAAAACTTTGTAAACAGTCTTATCCTTCTTACCTTTTTTCCTCCTCTTTCAGTTCTATTTCAGATATTTTTGGGCCAGAGTCTTCCATAAACATTGAGTAAGTGATTTTATATAGTTTCAGATTTTTTTATGTTCACTTTTTCCTCACTGTCTCAGTTGATGCTTTCTGTGGACTTTCTATTTATTTGTTGTTATAGAACATATGGTGGAAAAGCACAGACTATCACTATCTCTGTCTTGTCATAGGTAGTTTTTATATAAAGACTTTGTATTTTTATTATATGCAAATACATGGACTCAAATAAGAAAGTCTAACACTGATCAATGAATATATGTGATTCTTTGTCACTAGTTTGTATAGCTACAGTTGCAATTAGAGGTTTCATTTTGAGCATGAATGTTGTAATTATTTTAGGCTTTTAAAATTTTTTTAAACCAATCTTATTCTAGGGTGGAAATGATTAGAACACATAAAACTTGAATGAGTTTAAACACAAGAACTGGGTGCAAAAGTTCCAATTTGTTGTGGATTTTCTGTAATTTTATACATTGTTAAAATTATACGAAGTTATAAAGAATTAAAATTAGGAATGTAACAATCGACAACTGCTTAAAATGTGAATAAGGTCATAATAAATAATTATTTGATTTTATTGTTATTGTATAATAGCAAGTTATGTCTTTAAGACAAATTCAGTTTGATACTTTATAACTTTTGGTCACAAAAGTATTTGTGATGACATTTTTATTTATTTTGAATTTATGTTCTGTTATTAAGACAGCTGCATTGTTAAAAGGAATGAAACACATTTGGTTCTAAAATGGCTAAAATTTATTTTATTAAAAAAGAAAAACTGAAAATAATTGTAATAGCGAATTTAAAATTGATAATTGAATCGAATACGGACTTGAGTGAATCATTACATCCCTAATTAAATGCTTGAAATAATACAGAAAATATACCCATGATGCGGTTGTACCAACCATGGCAAAACATTTTAAACTTTTTTATTTAGCAGTCTTCTTTGTAACTGGATTCTCTGTAGTGTATTTTATAAAATACTGAGATAATTACAATTAAACACAGGAAATATGTGTGGCTCTTTGCTGAACAGTATAAAGTTGTAGTGGTTGTCTTGGAGCAAAACACAAAACCGTGAGTGCTTAAGGATGAGCCATTGGCAATGTTCCAGTTTTTGTATTTTGTTTCGTASCTTTCACCATTAAACCCCCTCCACACAAACTGACCCAAGGTTGATCACGGCCCAGCTTGCAGCGAGAAACAACTCAACCTTCACTATACAAAAGCACCTTGTGGCTTTCTCGCTTGCTTCGGTCACTGAATGCATGCTGCTCTGCGGCTGCCTCGGGTAATTTGTAGCCCGGTCAGARCTGGACAGAGTAATGGTGCTGCAATTCCCCAGCTTTGTGCTTGAACTTTCCCAAAGGGAAATCTTCGGCTTCAACCTCTGCCTTATAAAATAACAGGTTGCGCTTGTCAACAGAGTAATGAATGTATAGTTTGTGCTCCCGCGTTCTTTATAATTTGTTTTTCTGATAGGCTTCCATTCTTATATAATTTTTGATCATTTTTTTCTGTTTTCCCATTGAGACCAGCACAAATTTTTGTGTCAGATTCAACTGTAACCACTCTGAAGTGTTGATGGGAAAATTATAGCTGGATTATATTAATATATACCACCTTATGAAGAAATCTCTGTGTATTCTTTTTTTAAATCTTTTTTGTCATTGACATTCTTACTAGAATGCTGTCATCTCGATCAAATGACTTTGACAGAGCAATAAAAGAGCAGCTCACATTCTTCTTCACCCCCGTAGGACACAAATAAATAACTGCACCCACTCGGAGCTCATTCACTTGCGGACCACGAACTAAGACACTGAATCATGGCTCCATACTGTATTACTGAGGTGGTGGCGCTTTCGCTAAACCCTTGCACCACGTCTGCCTTCGGGTCAGCTGCTCTGCCTGATGTGGAGTACGAATAACAGTTTGATGTTGGATGTTTTATGCATTGCATTCTATATTAAAACTTATATGGTGTTCTATAATGAAAAGCCTTTAATTGTGCAGTAAAATGACCAGAAATAAATAAAAACTAGAACCAGTACATGAATGCAGTGATGATTTAAAATTGGACTTCGGGTTTTACTGTTTCCTGTCTTTGTTGAGTATGGACTCTGTCATCATGAGCATATGGGCTCTAGCAATACTTTGCTACAGGCACTCATAATTCATCAGAAGCCCCAAGCCTAGGAATGCCTCCTCAGTTTTTATAGATTGATGCAAAGGATGTTTTTGGAGCAAGCATGAAAGGGAATTTTCTATCAGGCATGAGTTTATCTTCATCCTCCAACTTGAGCTTACCAGTAATTCATGGTGCTCAGATTCCTCACCGTCCTTTTACTACCCATATTTGTCCTTCCACTTCAAATTCCAATCCAGGAATTTTGTTTCCCCCATCCGTAAATTAAAGATAAAAAGGTGTAGATGTGATTTCTGGTTGGAAGGTGATGTATAGATCTATAATGGAATCAGAAGAGAGCCCATCGTGCAAAGCTGTAAGTGGTTCCATGTGTGCGAGACACTGGTTTTATGGTTCACCTTTGGTTTCTTAGTTGTATTATCTGAGTGTTTCTTTGTGGTAAAGATCAGGGTGATGATTCAGGGATGGAGCTGTAGCTACAGTCAGAGGTGTGGCGCCCACCCAGGGGCCACACAATAACAAGAAATATTGATGTGGTGAAGAGGACAACAGGAAAAACGATGTATTTCCAGGTATTGAGAGGCCGGTGTCCTCTGACAACAGATGGTGTTTATCAGAGGGGAAAAAATAATTATAAAGCTCAGACAGAACATTTTAAAACTATGCAAAGRAACGATAATGGTGCAGAATGAGGTGAGTAATAGGCTTTAAGGAGAGTAAATATGTTTTTTTTATATAGAATGTTTGATAATTGGTATTACAATGTGACTTTGTTGATTCAYATTTTTGTTTATTGTGTGAATGATTTGGATTAGAAGAGGAAAAAGAAGAGGAGAGCTGAACGGCATTAATTGTATTAATTGCCAAGTGCCAAATAATAACTGTCAAATTTTTCTGACAATTAATTGTRCACAATATGATTTTGCCCAACCCTAATTTTCATCAGCATGATTCCTCATCCTCATGCTGGTTAACATCACATGCATCATCCCACCTTTTTCATTTTCTGCTTGCAGTCTGCAGAATTGTATGTTTTTGTCAAAGTAAAGAAGCTTTTAGTGTTAATAACGATGTGGTCTTCTAGTTACTAGGAGACAGTTGCAGGCAGAGTGTATTTATGTTTCATTTACAATGTGCGTTGTAATTAAACAGCAGGGCTCGTTAAGCTTAATTCACTTGAGTTGTTAAACTAATCATGTGTATGTRCCTGATCAGAAATTAACTCAATCTTAGAGGTGATTAAACTATGTGATGTTTTATACTCGTTCACTTTTTGTTGTTATGGTTTGATTTGGAAAAGAAAAGCAGCAGGTTTAAGGTGTCTGCTCACCTAAATTACAGCCATTACGGCTTTAGGACACTCCTCTGGGCCTCATAGCAAATAGACACCGTAGTTTATTGTCTTGAGCTTTTTGTGGTATTGATTTTGTTCAGACGCTGATGTGTGGTAAATGTGGGTGATCAGTAAACACCTGTGTGGTGGAAAATGGAAGGATGTGTCTCCATAAACAAAATGTCACATTGCTTTTGCTCAGGCTTCTATTTGTTTCTACTGTATCTTTTTTTCTTAAACCCAATACTTCAATCATACTACTATAGTTTCGTCTCTTGATTTACATCAATAAAAGTCTTTGTGATTTTTGCCTAAAACTTATTATGAAGTTTATTCATTTAAAACAAAACAACATAAATTCAACATACAACAAAAAAGCAAATCAAATTACCGGTAAATGAAAGGTAGYGGAAGAAAAGAATCATGATTTCTGCCCCTTTTTCTTAAATAAATTCAATCAAAAAAATTTTCAATTTACAACGTACAAAAAAAAGAAAAAACAATAAAGGTTTAATTCCTTCTTGAGTAACAATTCACGCCTTATACTCATTCATATTTCTCCAACAGATTTACCTTTATCATTTTCTTAAATACACACATTGATCTGGCTTTTTTAACGTTATCCTCCAGATTATTCCATAATTTAATTCAAATTCAAAATTTATGCAATAACTGTTGGAGTCTACCCAGTTTGTGAAGGGATTTTAAAGAAACTTTCAGGAAGTAATCATTCGGCCTACATTTATAACTTCAAAATCAAGATGGCCCCACAGTAGGGTTGGGCATAATCGTATCGTGTGCAATTAATCGTCAGAAAAACATTAATCGATTATTTTTTGGCACTTGGCGATTAATACGATTAATGCCACCAGGCAGACTGACTGGATATTTCCCCGGTCAGTCCGCTCGGTGCTCCTCTCCACTTCAAATATGACGAACATTTAAACAAAAGTTCTGTAATTTATTTATCTATCAACACAATTTAAAATTTAAAGTACAGCCTGAAGTCTGTGATTTTGACACAGTTTGAAAAAGATTTTACGAAGAGCAAATCTTTTCCACTAAATTGGTCATGTGACTAGGATATAAAGGTGTCCAGGGACTCCAGGGGATTAATTGTCAAATTAATCGTTATCAGCCAAACACCACAATTAATCGTGATTAATTTTTTTTACCAATATCGCCCAACCCTACCCCACAGCTAATAAGTAGCCAATGTAAAAAAATTGTTATAACCCAGTTAGTTTCACAGATATTGAGCTAATATTTGGTGTGGTAGTAGCTGACAGTCATTCACAACACATGTTAAGAATGACTTAATAATCTTTTATTTTTATTATTATTTATTAATTTTTTACCAAAATGACCTACCCCGGTAATTTCTCAGCACAAGATCATCTTAGTCTAAAACAAATGTGTGTAATCCTGGTGCTCAAGGGCCACGATGTTTTAGAGGTTTCTCTGCTCCATCACACTTGATTTGGAGGAGCTGGTGATTAACAGGCTTCTGCAGAACTTGAAGAAGTAACTCAGTCACGGACTCAGGTGTGTTGGAGCAGACACCGCTCCCTCGATATAAAACTTTGACATGAAAGAGGCGGTTGGCGATATACATTCATGCACTAAATGTTAGTTTATCCTGTAATTCCCTTTTTTGACTTGTTCCTGTTCAGGCTCACAGGGAACCTGTGCCTGTCTCTTGTAGTCATGACCAGCTGTGTCTAAAAGCGGTGAAAGTCGGTTCTCAGAACTTCAGCCTGTGTGACTTTAATTACAAGAAGGAGTTTTGATTGTCGTCATAACCCAAATGGATTTTGACAGTAACAACAGCGAGGGCAGATGTGTCGGTGCTTTCCACTCTGCTGCAAATCCCAGTGGAGCAGAAAGTAAAGTGGAACTCCAAAGATCGTTTCATAATTTTTTTTTTACACCGGACAGTAACTGAACCCAGAAGAAATCTCATGATTGTCTTAGTTGAAGTAGAAGAGAGTATTTTTTTTATTTTTTATTTGCCGTTATTGGTATGATCATTGATTTGTTGTATAAACCGTGGTCCAAATTTACATTAGTGATTTCATTTTTACACAGTTAGGAAATTCAACTTTGGGCAACTTTGGGAAGTTTTTTCCTTTTTTTCTTGCTCACAAAACCATTTTCTAGCTGATTTACCTTCAAAAAGGACAAAGCTTAATTTGAAAAACAAATTGTCTTTGTGATTATTAATTTATAAGCTTAAGATTGTACTGACTTTGTTTTAATTCTTTAGATCTAGTGTTCTAGTGTTTAAAAAAAGAAATGACACGTAGTTTTTGAACATGTTGATCCACAGAGCCACAGGAAAGACCTCAGCCCTAAAGCGAGCAGCCAGCTCCAGAGGAAGTGATGACAACACGTTACCTGTTGAGGGGAAGCGGCAGCGGAAGACGTGAGGAGAATAACTGAGAGAGGACCGCCGTTCACATGACGGATCAGTTCAACACGTCTGATGTTTTTTTCTGTTTTGTATTTTGAAATTGCACCATTTACATTTTACTACAAAAACATTTTACATCTATGGTATTTTGTCATCTTGTGATCGGTAGAAGCTGAGTTAAGTATTACGTTACTCTAGTGTTTTAGAATGTAGTTTTTAGACCTGGAAAAACTGAATCAAATTTTGTAAATAAATAGACCAAAGCTAATGTAAAAATGAGATTCTATATACATCTGCATTCAGTTTATCTTCAAATGCAATTTCACATTCTTGGTATCTTTTATTTTCTATTGAATTCATTCTCTGTAGCTCTTCTTTTTTTCTCACTTCTTTTTTTTCCCTCCCCCAATATGAAATTCACTCTAAACTGAAATAAACTGAGGACTTTGCCAAAAGCACGTTTTCTTTTCGTTCCCCCTGCTTGCGTCAAATAGCTGCATGTCAGTCCGTTTGCTAACCTGTGACCACCCCGTCATGAAAACGTTTCCACATTTCGTCTAAATTCCATTTAGGAGCCGTGTTGCGTGCAGCTCAGATGTCAGCTGTTTGAAGGTTTGCGACAAGCTTTTTTAAATTGATTGTTTTCGTTGAAAGCGAAGTGTCCGGGGTCAGTTGTTAATTCAATAAACTCCATGCTCGTGGAAACTGTGCGTCAAGGGAAACGAAGTGCAAAAACACTTTAAAAAAAAATAAAAGTGGAGGTGATGTTTACGTGTATGCTTAGGAGAGCGAGCTGACTGGATGTCTTCTGGGAGCCGACCCTGATTGAAAACAGAGCTCGCCTGCAGTCAGAGACACGGCGCTTCTGACTCGGCTGCCTCTTTCAGATAAMGCAGAGGCACGGCTTTTACATGAATGGAGTTGTATGCCTCACATTCATGATGCCAGTCAATCCTTTCTCTATTAACAATCATGCATTTTGTTTTTGCCTCATTTAACTACTGTGGAATGCTTGAATAAAACCACAGGGCAGAATAAACAACTTTATCACAACTTTTACAAAGTTAAGAACTATTGAAAAAAAGTCACAAATGTGTAACTACTTGGGAAAGATTAACCAAAGTCCCCTTATCTGACAGACTCATAAAAATGAAGGATTTATCTGTTTAACACAAGCCTCATCTACAAATACATCAGATTTACTCAAGTTCTTCATCTCTATGTGACCATGAAGACCCTACTGAGCTGTCAATATCTTATCTGTTTTAGATGCATTCGAACATTTTTGTTAGAAATATATGTCCACCTAGTGGGACGTTTACCTGTATCTTGACCCTCCACAAATCTGGAGTACTCATGCAATACTGGGGGGGTTGGAGTGGGAGTGGACTGTCATCAGCAGGGAGAGRATGTGGGGGCGGAGATGACGGCGACTACTGTGGAGCAGGGAGGGAGGATGAGAAAATGGCGAACTTAGCATTTCCTAACAGCCTGCCCGCTCTGAGACTTAAAGGGGCMATATTATGTGTTTCTCAGGCATATATTTAAATTGTATACCATAATAAAGTATCTATGTCACCTTTAGCTGTTATTAAAATGCTGTTTTTATTTTTAAATAAAATTAATTAATAAATTAAATAGAAAATAAACTTGTCTTCTCATCACTTCCTCTTCTAAATGCCTTGAAATTGGTCTCTGTCTCTTTAAGAACAACCTTCTTCTTCTGTCCCACCCATTTCGGTGCGGTGGGGGGGTGGGGGTGGGGGGTTCGTGTTTGTGCTATGATGCAGTTTACTTGGCATCTGAAAATACATTTCCTCAAAGGTATTTTGAATATGAAAAGAGCTTCACTGAGTGAGAAGCAGTGGATCTCAGCAGACAGTTTAAGTTTCACTTTCACTCGTTTGCTTTGTTACTGCTGAGAGCCTGCAGGAGTCATGGGCGGGGTGTGTGGGGTGGGGAGGTGTGCTCCGTGATGAGGAAGTTCGGCTTAAAGACACGTCCCAGAGGCATTCGTGGGACCAAAAGGCGCTTCTGGTCTCCACCTGTCATTTTGCTGCTCAGCATGGGTGCCTAAAAACACTGCAGGATTTGAATGAGTCAAAGCAAGGCTTTGGGCATGTTTTTTTTATGAAAGTATAACATTACAACATGATATAAAAGTCAAAAAAGTTGATTTTACATGATATTGCCCCTTTAAATAAATTTGAAGGAAAGTTTTTGAAAAAAATCTGTAAGATTTTCTCAATACATCTGCATACATGCAAAATGAGTGAAAATCGGAGTAATTTACAACCAGTCCATACTTATATGATGACGGTTAATATGAGCTATTGCTTTAGCGCCTTTAGTTTTCAGGAGCTGTACTTTGACATCTGCGAAATTTTCCCAGACTGAGAAAACCTCCGAGGTTAATGTCTTCAGATGTACATAATAACAATAATAATAATAAAACTGATCTTAATCTGCATAAATTCATTTCAAAAGTGTACTCCAGTAGATTAAATCATAAATCTTAGGTGGATGCCATGGGTACGATGTGGACAACAAAAGTTAAGTTGTGTGCACAATAAGCTGTGATTTTCAGTGACATAACTTGCTGGTTATTGGTTGCRAATGATCACAATTTAGTGTGATTGCAACAAAAAAATAGTTTTTTAGATTTTTTTTTTAGTCGCCAGCTAGTCTCCAACAGTTGCAGCACAGTGGGATAACTAACAAATGAGTTACTGAATCAAATGCTGTCTGTCTTAGAAAGTGTAACGGTTAAAGTAAAACCTATTAGTTTTGGCTCCTTAAATTTCTCTTTATATGAACACTGCTCTTTTCACCAGTGCTTTTTCATTTTGCCTTTTCACTTTCGACATCTATTTTCCAAACAGAACTAAGCCCAACTCTATCAGAGCTCCGATATATCTATGTAGTTTACAATTTCCTTGATCCAAAGCAAAAAAGAAACACTGTTCATGGAATGTGAAAATATCACAGGCGAAATTGTTTTTACTTCAGCTGGGAACAACTGAAGATGTTTCCCCACAAGTATTAAGACTGAGGTAAACAGTATTTTTTGTACTAATTTTTATAAGATATTTTTCTTCGCTCCTTTCACAAAGTGTTTATGTTGGCCCGGTTTGAAGCTCAACCTGCAAAATGACATTTTCTGTCATAGCTTGAGACGACAAATTGCACAGTTCAGATACACATTTCACAGTTTGAAGCAGAACAGAGAATTCTGGCTTCACCAATTTTTAAGGACACATGAAGAAGGAAACAAAAGGTCTCATGGTGACCCTGATAAAACTCACAAAATGGAAACACTTTGTCTGACAACCAAGTTAATATWTTTTTTTTGCTCCAAGCTAATTTAGTTTGAGTCTTTTTACAAACTTAAGCTTTTCCTTTCTCTTGTCTTAGACGAGCTGCAAACAGTTTTTAAAAGCACTTGGCACAAAAAGTTAAAAAAAGGTGTTTATGGTGGATTATTTCATTCTGTAACAATACTTCCTTTTCAATAAATGTTATACTAATTGAAGGCCTGTTTATTTTCCCTTAAATGTGCCACATTTAGGAAAATGCATTTATGGAGTTGAGCAGCAGTTTGAAGTATTTGGGTCGTGCTTATGAAAACTTCTCATATCTTTTCTGTCAACTGCTATTGACTCTTTGTTGTTGTTTACTGGATTCAGTGATAGAAGACTTAACAAAAGAAGACATGTTGACAATTTATCAGTTTTCATTTAATGACCGGGCCTACGTGGCATGTGGAAGAACCATACACAGCCAAAACAACCTGGCATCTTCTACAGCACACAAACTGCTTTATTCTTCTACCAGTCTTCGTCACAAACGAGTCAGTGTGGTTGTGTTGGTCACCCASGAACAAACTGCCAAAGCTGATTCCACAGGTGTTCATCGGGTTCAGGACTACAGGTCAAACTGTGAAGGTAGTTTATGATAAACCCTGCTCTCTGAGGGCACGTGTTGTCATCTTGGAGAATCTAAAAAAAAGAGAAAATCAAACACAAATTTCCATCCCTTTAGTGCTATCTTCCGATCTTTTATTTTTAACCTTCATGATATCAATCAAACAAGTGAATCTTTTCCCCCCCAGATCCAAAGTCAAAACTGAAGCTGTTACACAAGTCTTCTTTTGTTTTGGCAAAGTCAAAGTGATTTGTCAAATACCCATAAGACACAGATGTGAAGATAGAAAACTTGTTGATACAGGACTAATATTTGTTGAGACTTGGAGACCTGTGTTGTTAAACTTAAAATTTCACGGTCATGATCTAACTGGATCTAACGACACATATCGTGAGATTATGGAAAAATAAAAACTGTTGAAATGCAAACAAAGAATTTCTCTGGTGAGAAATAAATCTATCAAATCACTTTTTGTTTATGAATCACCAAATAATGCAAAAGTCATGATTATATCTAATGACAGATAAAAAATCCCAAAGGTTCTAGTGTTGCAGGTCCCTGCCTACAATAAAAAGTTTTGTTTTAGAAAAATATTATAAATAATAAAAAAGACAGCAAAAATATTTTAGCATGCAAAGCTTATAGATTCATAAATCAACATCTTAAAGTGCAACAGAATTAAATGCACCTGTAGACACAGATTCATTTCCAACAAATCAACTATTATTTCCCCAGGCACCTTAGAAATAACAGCTTCAACAATACAATTCCCTTTTTTAACTTGATTTTATTTTGTAGCATTCTGTGCCTTAAAAGCTTCACACAGAAAACTCWAAGTGCCCTTAAAAAAAGAATAATCACTGCAAGGGACACCTGCGGGCTTCGTTCGTGGTCCAGGCGTAGCTTTCTTAACTTATCTGCATCACCATAGAACACATTTGCACATTTGCCTGGTAGCAAGTTTGGCAAATCTCAAACAAAGACGGAGCAGCTGTCGTACATGTGGATCAGTGCAGACTGGTAGGTTAGAAAGCAAGAACTTTAAGATGTTCCAAGACTGGAGACTGATCGCAATTAACTACTGGTAAATCATTAGGCTCTAATGGTTCACCTGTCACCTCTGGTCGTTTTAACGACTGCAGCTTACTGTACATCACAGGAAGAAGTTTTCCAACAGAATGAGTATTTGCAGTTCTCACATCCCTAGTATTTTTAATCTRCAAATTTTCTACATAGTCTCTTTTTTCCTTACACCCTGTAACTGTAACATTTCACAAACGTTTATTTTCTAGCTTCAAATCTTTTTGAATCCAGATCTCAGAGTTCAGAAATGAAATCGAACATTCACAGATGGCTGCAGTCAATAGCTTTTCTGCGCAGATGAACAACAGTAACAATGGTGTATAGCAGTGCTGTTTGTGTAGCTGACTTGTTTCAGTTTATTAGAGCTCTTGACATGGAACTTAAATGTGCTACACCATGTGTTGGATCAGCACAGACACAGTTTGGAATGAGTCTACTCTGTAATGGTTCT